AAGTTGATACTGATTGGCCAAGACGGGTTAGTCTGGTAGCTTCTTTTTCAAAAATCCCAAACGTCTTAGTAGAAGTGGTATTCAAAGCACAGGTTCTTAAATCCTAGTCATCTTTTTCTTGCTTATTGCTCGTACACAGTGGCATTAATCAAGCATAGAGCACCAAGGTCTCAGACTGCACTATTCTTTGTTCAAGAACATTGTTTCGTCATCATTGTTTGACCAAATTTTATAATTTTTTTTATCACCGTGTTCTCAAAATCTCTCTCGGTTCCAACGCCCATCGCACAAATCCTCACGTGCCAGTCATGCGCGATCTTTTTTTAATTTTTCTAGTCGGCCGCGTTCCAGTCTTCTTGTCACGCCCTCAAAAAATAAACCCTTATATATATATCATCAACATGCATATTTAAAGCAAACAATTCATTTCATCAGAGTATTACTAAAATAAAAGTATCTACATGTAACATCAAATTAATGCCCTACGGGCTACATCTTTCCAAGCCAACACTTGGACACAAAATATGAGTTTCTAACTCAAATACAAGTAAAGCCCTAGGCTTGAAGTGTTTACATGTAGATATATCAAATAAGTAAATAATAACTAAACTAAACAGAGTCTTCACTCAATTCCTTCCAAGCTAAGTCGCTTGGAGGTACTTATCACCTGGAACCTTGAAAACGATGTTCGCCATAAAGGGTGAGCCACAGTGCCCAGTAGAAAAATACAAAACAAATATAAGCATTGGATAAAGCTATAGCATTCAATAGATGGTTAACCAAGATAATCAATTATAACTTGATACTGTCTCAATGACACTAATGTCTATGCCATGTTTAAATTCCCATTATTATCAATATGGCTCAGAACCTGGCCAAACTTACAACAGTGAACTATATATCACATTCACATTACTTCCAATATCAACAACACAGATGAGACTCGGGCTCATATCAACAACACTTCATACTTCCGTTTGATACACATTTTAGTGTTTGTATCAATAACATGTACAAACACTTCAATATAATAAGCACACATAATAGTGATGCTAATGGAGTCCATCCCCTATCTCCTCCCAAACAATAATCCGGTTTAGAGGTCCATCCTCTATCTTCCCCTAAACCGTGGAGTACATCCCCTATTCTCCTCCCAAACAATATGCACATGCAATGCTCAAACAATACATGTATTTTTCTGTATTAATTCAATAGTCTAACTTTATGACTTAAACAAATGATTAGTTTCAATTTTCCCTAATCCACATGCAATGGTCTACAACAAACACGACTATCCTCCACCGATAGCCCAAAACAGTTATTTCTAAAACTGGAAATAAATATATCAACAATTCGATAGGTGAGTGATCTAAATTATCCAACTACACCATTTAATCAATGAATTCCTCAATTTCATGAATTTAACAAATTCCCAATTTTCCTTAAATTAATCATACAAATTAATTTATTAATACAACTAGGTTTGTTTTTCCCAAAATTACCAAAGTATCCCCAACATATCAAAATACCAAAAACTTAGAACAAAAACTTATAGAATGGAGTAGAAATCCCTTACCTTGAAGAAAATAACCCGAATGGAGAAGACGAAGATGAAGACCTAAATTCCAAAGTGCTCCAAACCACCAAACGTTCAGATTAAATGGAAGCCCTTGACTCACTCTATCTTTTTAATAAAGGACTAAGGTTAGATACTCACCCTAGGTAGATCAATTCTTAGAGAGAAGGCAGGTTTAGAGAGAGAGAGACTCTCAAGGGGGCAGTTTTTAAAAGTTAAGAAAGAAAAAGTAGGTCAAAAAGTGATCCAAAAAGTGAAATCACGGACTGATGTAGTCGATTCTCCGCTCGAGCACGGAAAACCCCGCTCGAGCGTCAGACACAGACTCACGCTCGAGCGTGAAAAGATCCGCTCGAGCGTCGATTTCACACTTCCAGAAGTTTTGTAGGTGATGGTATCTGCTCGAGCGTCAAACTCTCCGCTCGAGCAGAGGGACAAAATCAAGGGATCACGCTCGAGCGTAAAACCTACCGCTCGAGCGGACGAACTGCAGAGTAAAGTACTGGGAGATGGAAAACCACGCTCGAGCGTCAAAACTCCCGCTCGAGCGGAGAAGCAACAACAAAGGGCCCGCTCGAGCGTTAAAAATTCCGCTCGAGCGTGAAGGCCAAAATCTGGGCATCACCTTTTGGTTTCAAAGTGCAACCAACCTATTTCAAACCTGCCCATCACAACCCAAGACTCAAATACAAAGAGTAAAGGCTAAAAGTGATAATGATACAAAAACAAGTCCACGGAACCAAGTCCAGAATACAGTATACAAAGGAAGGAAAAACCGGGATCGCTATACTTCTGCTGCCACTCTCCTACATGCAATCACGTGCCCTTCAGTTGTCACTCACGTCAGCCCTTCCTACACCCTCTGTGCGCCATTCCTACTACTATGCGCCGCGTGCCCCTCTCTGCTATCCTATGTTGCACCTCCGTTCTGCTAACGTGCACTGCATTTGGTATTGATGTCACCCACCCTCTTGCTGATGTCATCTCTACTCATTTCCTTTATTTTGACTATTTTTTTGGTGAATTCGCCCATTTCCCAACTATTTTCAATCTTCTGAACTCACTGGTATGCTATATTTTACCTGATTTTGCCTCTACAGTACTGTTTCTATTTATTTAGTCCTACAACAATATTATTATGGATCGCTGTAACGCCCTCAAAGTAATACAACAAACCTACCTATATTGAAATGTATTGAAATACAAAAGACCAACATTCTTCTATTCATCAAAGTAGTTCTTACAATAGTATTACATGTTATTAACAAAGCAAATGCCCTACGGGCTTACAGCTTTCCAAGTTAACACTTGGTTACAAGAAAATAGAGTACTAACTCAAATACATATCAAGCCCTTGGCCTGAATTACATGTAATACATCAAGAAAATAGACAACAAAAAAAGTCTGTCCACCTCTAGCCTCGCAAGCTATGTCCTTGGAGGTGGCATGCTACCTGTACCTGAAATGATGTTCCCATATAGGGTGAGCCACAGCCCAGTAGAAATACACTAAACCAATTATAAACAATGACTAAAATAATAGCATTCAACAGATGGTCCACACTTATATTCCCACTTATACCGTGTTACAGTTTTATGACAATCATGTCCAAGTTACATTTCACTTTCCGTTTCTTATCCAATTCTCAATTCATACCATAGTTCAGAACCCAGCCAAACAACTTATATGAGACAATAACTCATCTTTAACATTTTTCCATTTCTAGCTATATCAATACTTCAACAGATAAACACACAAGCTGCATCCACTCTTCGAAAGATAAGCATATGAGCTATATCAACACTTCAAAAGATAAGCATATGAGCTATATCAACACTTCAAAAGATAAGCATATGAGCTATATCAATTTCCGGTTTAGAGGTCCAGCCCCTTTCTTCCAATAAACCGTTTGGTTTAGAGATCCAGCCCCTTTCTTCCAATAAACCGTTTGGTTTAGAGGTCTAGCCCTTTCTTCCAATAAACCGTCTGCACAAAACAACATATATATATACACATCGGTAATATACATAATCAATCAATACATAAAGTTAATGTATTCTTTCAACCGTCATACTCTATGACACAACCAATTGATTAGTTTTAGTTTGCCTAATCATCATGCATTGTCTACAACAATCAAAACTACCTTCCACCGGTAGCCCAAAGCGATTATTTCTAAATAGAAAATAAATGCATCCAACGGATATTGTAGTCAACATTTCAATTTGGTGAGCGATAAATGATTCAACTACACCCTTTAATCCCATACATTCCCAATCTCGACTTCCTCATTTCAATTCCTCATTTCTCACAATTAATTATGCAAATTAATTAATCAATGTAATTAGGGCATTTTCCATAATTAATATTGCAACCCTAAGGTTTCATTTTCATCAATGTTTCAACATTAATTCCATTTCTCCATGCCAAACATGCATATAGGTTTTATATATTTAAAACCCTAACTTTTGTAAAATTACACAAAGGCCCAAACTTTCTCAAAATTACCCAACAGCCCCCAACGTATCAAAACACTAAGATTTAACGACAAAGCTTATAAAGAGGAGTAGGATATCCCTACCTCGAATGATGAAACCCAACGAAGGAGATGAAGAAAACGAAAATGCTCCAAATCCTGAAATTTTCAGATTAAAAGATAGCCCTCGACGATCAACACAACTCTTGTAAAGGTTGGAGGTGAGAAAATAACTCCTACTAGATCAATCCTAAGAGAGAAGTTAGGGTTTTAGTGAGAGGAACTCTCAAAATAGCTTTCTGGAAAAGTAAGAGAGAGAAAGGATGTTGAAAAGTGAACAAAAAAGTCAGAGAAAGGAAACCAAAAAGTGATCCAAAAAGTCAAATCCCGAAGTGATATACCAGTCGCCCCGCTCGAGTGTCAGACACAGACTCACGCTCGAGCGTCAAAAGCGCCGCTCGAGCGTCGATTGCACACCTGTAGAAGTTTTACAGACATGGTCCCCGCTCGAGCGTCAAACTCCCCGCTCGAGCGTCAGACACAAACTCCCGCTCGAGCGGCCAATCCCCCGCTCGAGTGTCTACCATTGCCGACGAAATACTGGATGGGTGATCTCCCCGCTCGAGCGCCAACACCCCCGCTCGAGCGGATAAGCAACAACAAGGGCCTGCTCGAGCGTCAAAAGCGCCGCTCGAGCGAAGAGACCAAAAACTGGGCAAAGATTTTACGTTTTAAAACACAACCAACTTATTCCCAACTTGCCTAACACAACCCAAAATTCGAACACAAAGAGTAAGGGATAGAAAGAGGATAAGACAACAGCACCCTTACGGAACCGAGTCCGGATTACAATTAAACACAAAAAGGGAAAACTGGGATCACTATAATCGCCATGATGTCTCCCATCCAATTTCTATTATTCTTGATGGATCCAATTATGTTTTGTAGGCCCAAGCCATGTCTTCCTAAAAGGGAGGAAACTCTGGCTTATTTTCATCGGGGATGTGACCAAACTGATGAAAGAGGCTGCTGAAACTGCTGCTAAGTATGAAAATAGATTAGAAGATTAGGACAGTAAGAACTACCAGATCATTACTTGGCTTCAGAATACCTCTGTTACCTCTATTAGTATTCAGTTTGGACAATCCTACTAATCGACCCTCCACTGTAGGTTTCTGTTTCTTCTTAGGGGATTCTCTTCTTGTTTGGCGTAGCAAGAAACAGTCCCTCACTACTCATTCTAGTACTAAAGTTGAATACCGTGCTCTTGTTGACACTACTCAGGAACTTCTGTGGCTTTGCTGACTTCTTGCTGACATGGGTGTTTCTTCCCCTGGTGCCACCTCTCTTTGTTGTGACAATCAGAGTGCCATTTAGATTGCTCATAATGACGTCTTTCATGATCGCACCAAACATATTAATATTGATTATCATTTCATTCGACAACATGTTATATGTGGCATTGTTCATCTTCTTCCTATTACTTCTGCTGATCAACCTACCGATATTTTTACCAAGGCTCATCCTCCTAGACATTTCAATGACCTAGTTTCCAAACTCAAGTTGGTTGATGCTTACCCACCTTGAGTTTGAGGGGGACTGTTAATATATATATGGATAGGGATTCAATTTAGGAATCCATATGTGGTTGTATCACTCTCCTATATATAGGAGCTCTTGTGCATTGTTATTGATTATAATAAAATATACACAGTTTTCTCTTTCTCTCATTTTCTCTCAATTATTGTAGTAACTTGTACTGCATCTTTTTGAGTTTTGCTTGCCTTATGTGATATGGAATATGATGTTTAAACGAGGGTCCAATGGAAAAATTGGGATGGCAACATAAGAGCTGGTCATTGTGAAATGAAATTAGAGATGATGGCTTGTTTTGGCTGACATCTCAACGAGTTTCTGACTATAATGTAAACCAAAATGTCAGAAATTAAATTTTTGAAGTCCTACAAGTGAATGATAATGTTTGAGAAATTGGAACGAAAGCATTATCTTTCATTCTTGCGCAGTAGAAACTATTTTTCTTTTCATCTTGCTTGTTTGCTTTTCCTCCTCTTCTTTGTCTAACCCCCTGCAAAGTATTTCCTACAACATTGTATTCGTGTCCTTGAGAGCAAGTTATCAATTACAACAAAATTCAAGTTCTGGGCATCATGACACATCAAAATAACTGAAAAATTAGGAAATATTTAAGAAAATGTCAAGATATATCCATGAAAAATTTAAGAAGTGGAGAGAAGAAGAGCAATTCATATGAAGATTAAAATGATATATTGCTGCTGTAGAATCTTATTGAATGCTCCAAGATGTAAGATGTAGAATTTAATTAAAATATTTGCAGAAACAGAATAATTACCCAAGACAACAAGCAATGGCAACTTTACTATAAAAGCCAATCTACTATTGGTTTTCTTGATTCTATAATTTTACTTTTACGCTCTATTTGTTTCGGCAAAAAATATTTTTTAATTGTAAATATTTTTTTATAAAAATTTTTTCCATAAAAATTTTTCTTATGTCTGGCTTGAAAACGTTTAAAAAATGTATTAATGATTGCATTAGTAGCAATAGCAAGGTGGTGGCGAACAACGATTGTGTGTGCCTAGTGATATATATTCGCAACATCTTTAAATTATAAAATGAAAAAATATCAATAAATCCTATTTTTCTATTACGATTATGATTCTGTACTATCAAGTTTCAATATGGATAACTAGTTCCTATTTATAATAAAATATTATCAAAAAGTTTATTTTCCATAATGAGATGTCTTATCTCATTTTTATCTCTCATTTAATATGAACAACAATTTCATAAACATTTTAAAGGATATTTACCAATAAATCCAATCTCACAAATAAGTACGCAAATTAATCTCAAATTTTTTATATTGATCTGTTAAGTCCTATTAGTGGAGAGTTTCTTTCTGTGTGGTCCTATTTTTTATTTTGGTAGTAATTTTGTGGACAACTATATCCTTTTATTAATGTGACAGGTATTAATGCGATACTTCAATGATGTGACACTCCAAAAAAATTAGAAACTCCTTACTGTACTTTTTCTAAATGTGACAATGTGCCGGATATGATGTGACACTCCAAACTTTTACTCAAAAACAAAAACTCATTAGTGTACTTTTTTTAAATGTAACAATGTGTCGAGTTTGATGTGACACTTTAAAAAAATAAAAACTCCTTAGTGTACTTTTTTCAAATATGACAACGTGACATGTATGATGTGACAATGTGGCGGGTATGATATGACACTTCAAAAAAAATAAAAACTCCTTAGTGTACTTTTCTCAAACGTGACAACGTAGTGGGTATGATGTGACATTCTAAAAAAATTAAAAATTCCTTAATGTTCTTTTCGAAACATAACATGTGACACTCCAACGTGGCGGGTATGATATGATACTCTAAAAAAATTAAAAACTCTTTAATGTACTTTTTCTAAATGTGATACTCTAACGTGGTAGGTATGATGTACTAAAAAACTCTTTAGTGTAATTTTTTCAAATGTGATACTTTAATGTGATGGGCAAATGAGTCATTACATATCTAAAAAAAACTAAATGGATTACAAGAAAAAATATGGGACTATATGGATTACAAGTTCAAACTATGGGACTTATTAGTCAATTTCTCATATTTTAATCCAAGTAAAACTATATTTTTAATTGTAAAAATTGTAATATTGTATTATAAAAAATATATAAAACAAACATAAATCAAAATTAAAAAAATTGCTAATAAGTTTTGTTTTAGTTTAAAAATTACTATTGAGTTATATCAAATTTTAATATTAATAAACAAGTCCTATTTTTTTAAATTTATAAATTGTTAAAAAAAATCAATTATTCATAATAGTATATTTTACTTTAATTTTATTTTTCTCATTAAAATATGAACAAAAAATTTCATTAAAATATTATTTTATATAAAATTTATAATAAAATATTTTTAATTATTGAAATTAAATGAATTTTTATGAGTATAAAATTCATCAACTATTTCATGCATTGACAAATATATAAATTTGTCATAATATTATTTTTCATAACTCTTTAGAATTTTAATAGAATTAGCCGTTTCAAATTGTTTACATAAAAAAATCATAATTTGAGATAACAAAAAATGATGTATTTTATATTATAATTATTTTGATCCAGTTGTTATTTATGATTTTTTAATATAATATTAATAATTTTTATAATTAAAATTTTTAATTTTAATTAAGTTAAAATTATTTATAAAGTTATTGTTCATATTAAATGAGAACGGTAAAATTGGATAAGATACATCATTATGAAAGAATAAACCTTTTCGAAACATTTTATGACAAATAAAATTTAGTTGTCCATATTGAAATTTGATACAACTTAATAATAATCTTTAAAACAAAATTGAATTTATTGGCATTTTTCTCAAGAAATAAATAGGATAAGACAAACAATCACTACGAAAGGAGGTCCACACTTTATCAATCTATTTGAGCAAATTTTATGATAAAAAAAAAACATGGAACATTCCAGTGGCCCTTGGAATTAATGCCAAGTTATCTCCTTCATACAGTTACTCTTCAACCAATCCTTTTTAGCAAGTGTGTTATCAATCACTAGAGAAAAGATTGTAAGATTGCCAGATGATCCTTAGGTACAATATTACCGATTTGGAGACAAAATTGCAACTTATAAACGGTTTCAGATGAAACAATCAATGCCCTTCCTAAACTTCTTTGAACAGTTCAACATCTCAAAGACGTAGAAATCATTCCAGACTAATTCATCACAGCAAATAAAGCTAGAAACTTGAAACAAATTCATTAGACAATCTTTAGATAGCTTCCCTCAAGCAATTTTTGCCTTCTTATACCTGGGCTGTTATTTTATATATGATCTATAACGGAGTATTAAAGAACCATGTTAAGGGCACAGATCACACTACAACAATATTGTGAATTGAATAAATTAAAAAGCACAATTGCAAACATAACAGATTTTTGCTACATGCTTATCTAGTGCTTATAATTGGGGTTGTCCCTGAGACCAAGTTTAGAAAGCACAAGCCAGTAGGAATCCCAGTCGATTTCAACAACTGTTTCCTCCTTTGGACCATTTCTTGAAGACCCTCTTGAGAATGCTTGTCCTATTAAAAAAAAATAATAATAAATAAAATAGAATATAGCATCTTGTAAGCAAATAAACAGCAGAAGGAAACTCCAGAACAGCATTCACAAGAAGAGCAAGCTATCAATTACAACAGAATTCAAGTACTGGGCTTGCATCAAAATAACTAAAAATTCAGGAGATATCCAGATACATCCATGAAAAAACTAAGAATGTGGAAAGATGAAGAGCAATTCATATAAATATCAGAATAATATATTTCTACTGCAGAATAATATTGAATGATTCAGGATGTAGGATGTATAATTTAATTAGAATATTTGCAGAAGCAGAACATTTACATGCATTTCTACAAAGAAAATTACGGTAATGTAATCATAATTTAAGGTTTTACACCATCTTTAGGAAGACGAGCAAACATGACATTTGAACACAGGATTTGGCTTCTCTCAAAACAAAACAAGACAACCAGCAATGGCAGCTTTACTATAAAAGCCAGTCAACCATTGGTTTTATTGATTCTATGATTTTATCTTTAGTGCTGAGCTAAAAAAAGAATCAATCAACAAGAACAAGGTCAATGTACAACAATTCTTAGATTTTTCATGGATATATCTTAATATTTCCTTGAAAATCTCTTCAATTTTTAGTTATTTTATTTTAATGTGACCTATGTCCCCTAAAATGAAGATCATTCTGTTACGTAAAGTGGGAATGGGAATACAGTACGCCACATACTCTCAATTGTGATACGATAAGAATGAACTTGTATAGTTGACAATTAAATATCTAATAAAATTTAGGATTTTTCTATATCAATCATATAGCCACACATTTCTATGAGATTATGATCTATTTTGACGTTTTGTGAGGTTAAAACTTTACTTACCTTAGATTTTTGTTCATTATATTTGATTTTTTTTACTT